CCGTCGTCCATGGCCTGCGGAGAGGGGCCCACCCGGCTGCTGGGCGCCCCCACGCCGACCTCTGAAGCTCCTCAAGGAGTCAGTGGACAAAACGGCGCATCACCCGCTGTCTGGAGACATCCGCCCTCCAGGCAGGGCCCGGTGACCTGCTGAGAGCGCCAGCCTGAAACCACCCCAAACGGATCTGTCAGGGAACAGGGCTCTTGGGGCCTCTGAGGGTGGGAAGCTGAAAGGAATCTTCTCTTGATGACCTCACAGAGTGGCACGTGGAACCCTGATCGGGGAATGAGGTCACAGAGGATGGTTGGAGTCCGTAGGGGCTGGGGGCAGGCAGAAGTCAGGCCTGATGGTCCGGTAATGAGGGACAGGCCTATGCGCCAGGTCCCAGTTTCATTTAAACTTTGGAGACGAAGAGGAAGGAGTCAGGTGAAAATACCGACCCACTGCTTTAGCCGTGGCCCCCGCTGTGCTGTCTGTCTGAGGGGAAGCGTGTGCCGGACCATCTGACTGACACCAGCCAGGCTGTTACCTGTCTGCCTTTGCCTCCTTGGCCCCCTTCTCCGTCCGTGCTATTCATCGGAGACCTTCAGGTGTCTGTTGGTCTGTTTATCTTTCAGGTTGCAGGTGTGTGAGGCCACAGAGTGTGGCAACTCCTCCCAATGACAGTGAGGTCACTGATCTGGCAGAGACAGGACAAGGCGAGGGAGGGAAAGAAGCGGACAGCCTATAGACAGATAGAAATGGACCCAGAGGAGTCAAAGTGGTGAGGAAGGAAGAAAACACAAGTGTCTGAAGTTGGGGCCCTCCCACATCACCCTCCACCCTTAGAAGGTAAGTTTCTTCCCCATCCTCGCTCCCTCCTTTCCTTGTGTAGAGCCTGTTGGAGTAAATGATTGCTTCTTTTTCGGTTTAACAAATATTTATTGAGCACCCACAATGTACAGTGTAATGAGGAGTACAGAGATGACAGGAATATAGAGCCTCTCGCGGGAGAGAGATTTCTACCAAAGGAACACAACTTCCCACACAACTTCCCATAGGTGCTAGGCAGGGCACCAGCTGGTGGACATGAATGTGTCTATTTATTTAAACTAGAGCAGCGGTTCTCAACCTGTGGGTCGCGACCCCTTTGGGGTCGAACGACCCTTCCACAGGGGTCACCTAAGACCATCGGAAAACACATATATAATTACATATTGTTTTGTGATTAATCACTATGCTTTAATTATGTTCAATTTGTAACAATGAAATTGGGGGTCACCACAACATGAGGAACTGTATTAAAGGGTCGCGGCCTTAGGAAGGTTGAGAACCACTGAAGAAGAAGGGAGAAAGAATGAGAGAGAAACACTGACCTGTTGTTCCACTTATTTATGCATTCATTGGTTGATTCTTTTAAAAAAATATACTTTTATTGATTTCAGAGAGGAAGGGAGAGGGAGAGATGGAAACATCAATGATAAGAGAGACTCATTGATTGGCATATGGGGACGATGTTCCAACCAACTGGGCCACTTGTCCAGGGCAGAATACGGGTATAGCTATTATGATTAGGGGAAAGATGGCCTTGGCCGGTGTTGCTCACTGGTTAGAGCGACCAGCCCTCGCACTGAAGGTTGGATTCTGGGTAAAGAGCACGCACCTGGGTTGCAGGTTCGAACCCAGGCCTCAGTGGGGGCACATGTGGGAGGCAACCAATCGATGGCATATTGATGTTTCTCTTTCTCATCGCCAACTCCCCACACCCGCTGCGCCTTTCCACTCTCTCTAAAAAGCAATGGAAACAATATCCTCAGATGAGGATTAACAACAACACAAAGGGATTAGGGGAAAGACAGAGCAATACCATTCATTTTCATTTGGAAAAACCTTTTTACTTTGTTTAATGGCAGATGTTCCTGGGGAGGGGGATAGAACTCTGAAACGGATAATAACAGTCCAGAGTCATGATAGTATGGCAGACGTTGTTTTAATATTTCCACAGACAAGACAGTAGTGAGAAAGAAAAGAAATCACAGTGAAAGTGAAATATAATTAAGGCTAGAGAGGAGATAATTTTGGAGAAAAAAAACTTTTCCCTTAACAACTTGATTGCTTTTATAAAAATTATAGTTATTCATTATAAAAGTTAAAAAGAAAAATACAAAGAAACTAAATGGGTATGTAAAGTACAGCATAGGGAATATTGCCAATAATCCTATGAGAACTGTGGATGGTGCCAGGTAGGTCCTAGACTTATCAGGGGACCACTTTGTAAATTGTGTCTCACCACAATGCTGTACACCTGAAACAAATATAAAATAATATTGACATTTTTTTAAAAAGGAGAAAGAAAAAGAATGTCATTTGGAATCTCAGCCCAGAGATAATCCTTGTTTATATTTCGATGAATGTGATTACTTTAAACATACATATACACAGAAAGTTGTGGACTGACACAGTTTGACAGAAGTGGGTTGTATGACACACATTGTATGTGCTACTCTGTAGTCATTCTCCCCTCAGCATTATCTTGGCTGAGAGAGATGTTTCTAAGTAGGTGTTATGCTGTCTGCAGACTATGGACAGTTCTTTTTGCAGCAGCAGCAGCAGCAGCAGCAGCTCAGGAGCAGCCTCTGGTTTCCAGGACGGGCACTGAGATGGCATGTTGGTGTCACCACTGCCCCATGGACAACTCTTTTGACAACTCGTTGATTTTGGAAACTCCGTGAGAAACAGGCATGATCCTCTCCACCCAGGTTTCTGAAAGCCAGTAACACTGGGAAGAGTGTCACCTAAGAAATGTTGATTATAGGCGGCAAAGATGACTTGCCAGTTTCTTTATAGAAATGTACGCCCAAGAGGAGCCTCTGGTTTCCAGGACGGGCACTGAGATGGCATGTTGGTGTCACCACTGCCCCATGGACAACTCTTTTGACAACTCGTTGATTTTGGAAACTCCGTGAGAAACAGGCATGATCCTCTCCACCCAGGTTTCTGAAAGCCAGTAACACTGGGAAGAGTGTCACCTAAGAAATGTTGATTATAGGCGGCAAAGATGACTTGCCAGTTTCTTTATAGAAATGTACATTGTGACAACCAACGTAAAATGTAGCAAGGTGTGCACATATACATTGTTTATAAAGATACAGTTTCTTCTTAAAAAGTAAACACTCCTGTAAAAGATTGTCTTAGATCTTTTTCTTAAGCATGTTTTCCCATTTCTTTCACTTATTCCACAATTATTTATTGAGCTGCTGCTGAATAATATGTATAAAAGGTGAATAAGACAGACAGCTGTGGCTGTCTCCACTGGGCTTAGAGTGGGCTACAGACAGCTAATCCAAGCTCCTTACAGGCCGGGGGAGCCTTGATGAGGTAAAGCTCAGGTGTTATAGAAACATGGCGGGAGGGGAACACATAACCATCCCCATCGGAAGAACGGTGGTCTGGAATGGAAGTGAAGTCTGAAGTGTGAGCTGAAGGAAAGGAAAAAAAAAAAAGAAGTGGGGATTGGGACAAGCTGGTAAAGGGTGTTGTCCACCAAAAGTAGTCCTGAAGGCTGCAGCTCTTGGTGAGGAGGAAGGGAAGGGGCTAGACCAGTGGTTCTCAACCTTCCTAATGCAGCAACCCTTTAATACAGTTCCTCATGTTGTGGTGACCTCCAACCATAAAATTATTTTGTTGCTACTTCATAACTGTAATTTTGCTACTGTTATGAATCATAATGTAAATATCTGATATACAGGACAAGTGTATCATTTTCATTGGACAAGTGTATCATTTTCTGCTGTGAAATCCTCACCTGTTTGAGTACACAGCACAGGGGAAAGTGACCATTTGATCGCTGTCTCTGACCCTTAAGGACAGCCAGTCTCATAAAACAGGCCTCAAACTATACATTCTACACTCATTTTTTTTTACTTATCTTTACACAGATCAAACCAGCCAAGGAACTACTAAATCTTGATTTTACTTTTTACTATGTGGACACAGCCATTGTTAAATTCACTTTGATTTTATTTAACCTTCAGATTGATTGGATGTAAAATAAATGTAAATACATTTTTTTTGTGTGCCATGAAGAGTTTGCATGCAGTGAACCCATTCCATACAATTGTCTGACAGTATACACTTTGATCTACTAAGATGGGTAGGCATCAATGTAGGCTGTTTGGTAGTTATATCCTTACCAGACCCTGAGATGTGACCTTACTTAGAAACAAAACTGTTGCAGATATAATGAATTAAGATGAGGTTATACTGGATTAGGGTGGATCCTGAATCCAATATGACTGGGATCCTTACAAGAACAGAAGACACACACACAAGATGGCCAAGTGGCGATGGAGGCCGAGATTGGGATGATGTACCTGTGAGCCAAGAATGCCACGGACTGTGGGCAGCCACCAGAAGCCAGAAGGGAGAAATGGAACAGATTCTCCCTCAGAGAGTCCGGAAGAAACCAGCCCTGCCAACACCTTGATTTTGGACTTCTAGGTACCAAAACCGGAAGAGAGTAAACTTCTGCTGTTAAAAGCTGCCCAGTTTGTGGTTGTTTGGTGCAGCATCCCTAGGAATCTATACGGTGGTCTTGCATGTCAATAAAGGAGAGGAGCCTAAGAAAGTGTGTGTGTGTGTGTGTGTGTGTGTGAGAGAGAGAGAGAGAGAGAGAGAGAGAGAGCGCATTTCTAGGAGTTTATGACACTTGCTGGCAGAATGTTTTCTAGGCCACCTCTTGTGAATAGACACACTGTCTGCTGACTTGTCCCATCCCTGCCCTTCCCTTCAAACGCCTATGGTCATGCACACAATGGATATCAATATTTAATCTTTCTATTTGCATGTTTTTCCATGTTTATTTTTCAGTTGCCTGCTCGCCCCTCTTTTGTTTATTTTGTTAAGAAGTGCCAGGCTTAGAGTGTTCACCCCCAGAGGGCAAGATTCTTATCTTTCTAAAATGTGCTCAGAAGGCCTGCTGACTCATGCCCCAGACTCTTCTACACATATTATTATTGTTATTTTTAATTTATTTTAGAGAGAGGAAAGGGGAGAGATAGAGAAACATCAATGTGAGAGAGAGGCATTGATGGTTGCCTCCCATACACGCCCCGTACGGGAAGATGTTCCAACCAACTAGGCCACACCGGTCAGGGCCACAAATTATTTTTGAAGGTGATTGTTTTGGTTGTGTCTTCTCAGTTTTTCCCTTTAACTTTTCTATCATACTGGTACACGGTCTGCATTACTGAAATAACTTATGCAAAGTAATATGAATTTTAAAAGCTAAAAATGCACCACAGACTAAATATGAGTGAATTTTAAGTGATTGAAGTTATTTTTAAAACATTTTTTCTGCTGAGAAATAAAGGAGAAAACAATGATAGCCATTCATGCAGCTTTTTAAAGTGTAACTTTGATAGTAAAAATATGAACACAAAATGGTATAATTTAGAATTTAAGTTTTCAGTGGTCTTTCCCCAACTGTAAAAGTTTGCTTCCTAAAAAACTCTGAGGAATTTAAGACTTTGAGGGAAAACACAAAGACAGGAACAATAATCATCAGTGAACCTATAGGAGATCTTATCAATATTTTTACATTCTTGCCCTGGCTGGTGTGGCTCAGTTGGTTGGAGAGTCATCCCTTGCAAGGAAAGATTGCTGGTTTGATTCCTGGTCAGGGCACATACCTAGGTTTTGGGTTCAGGTTTGATCCCTGGTGGGGGTGTGTACAGGAGGCAACCAATCGATGTTTCTCTCATCAAAGTCTGTCTGTCTCTAAAAAAAAAAAAATAGTAACCATATCCTCTGGTGAGGAGATAAATATATTTTACATTCACTAAAGACAACTCTGAATAAAGACCGTGTCAATGATACTTATAGGCCTTCAAATAGTAAGAATGGGTACTGTACTATGATTTTTTATTCACTACCACTTGTTTGCTAGACTCTGAGAATCTCATTTGCTTACAGTTCATGAGGTTTTTTTTGTTGTTGTTGCAGATAAAAAACCCTTCCTCTACCTACATTTTAAATATTTAATATATATTTCAGATTATACTACCTGTGCTTTGAAAGATTATATTATTATAGAGAAATGTAATATAGAAAGTGAAAGTTCCCATAATCCAACCTCCCGAGATGATTGCAGTTTGGTACATATCTACCATATTGGGAAAAATGCCTATTTAACGCTTACTGGATAGAAAGTAGACATTCCTTTTTTATTTTTTCCCCCCAGGTGCTCGTGCCTTTCTAACTTTATAATTTGGAGGCACCTCAGCTACCTGCCTTCGGGATTTGTGGTCTCAGAGCTGTGTAATTTGGATAATGGAGATAGAAAAACCTTTGAAAAGCTTTGTTGAACAATTATTTCTTGAATACTTCATCTGCATCCTGAGTTATATTTTATTTGTTCTGCCTGTGGTAACTCCATGGGGGCGAGCCTACTAGCCTTTTTAAAACAGATCCCAGCGACTTGTCTGCTCACACTCCCCAAAGGAATAGAGATGGAAGGCTGGGCTTACTCATCATCACCGTCTTTTATCTTTCCAGAAGCATCACTGCACAAACCTCTACTTTACCCTTCCATTCGTTCCGCCCACTTTCTGTCCTTAGTCCTTAGTTTCCTTTTATTTATTTTTTAAGGGTCTTGAAATATACCTTTTAAATATTTAAAAAAAATATTTTTATTGATTTCAGAGAGGAAGGGAGAGACAGAGAGAAAAATAGAAACATGAGTGATGAGAGAGAATCATTGATCAACTGGCTCCTGCACATCCCTCACTGGGGATTGAGCCTGTAACCTGGGCATGTGCCCTGACTGGAATCGAACTGTGACCTCTTGGTTCATAGGTCAATGCTCAACCACTGAGCCACGTTGGCTGGGCAATATCCTTTTTAAAAATATATTGAGAGAGAGAGAGAGAGAGAGAGAGAGATACCTTTTTAAAAAATATATTGATTTGAGAGAGAGAGAGAGAGAAACATTGATTGGTTGTTCCATTTATTTATGCATTCATTGGTAGATTCCAACATGTGCCCTGATTGGGGATGGAAGCCGCAGCCGTGGCTTATTGGGAGGATGCTCTAACCACTGAACATCCGACCAGGGTCCTAGTCATTTCCTTTTAAAACGCCTCTCCAGCAGGAGTGACTTGCAGTTTGCACACACTGACACTTAAATTCCCCCAAGTGTTGAAGAAGTGAACTTAATTATCCAGATACATAATTTTGTGCACATTTGAAAATGGCTGTTCTAATTCCAGCATTGAACCCAGATAAACATTTGGACCAATAATCCAATTTTTCAAAGTTTAAAGTGTCAAGTGTAGAAAATATGAAAATGGGTGAGTAATAATAAACTTTGAATATGCCACTTCATACATTTATCATTTGTCACAGATATGTTGTATTTCTATGCATAATAGACACTTTTAATTTATAGTTTGCATTTACCAAGCCAGCTTCTCCCCAAGCTCAAAATTCCCTTGGTTGTAAATTTAGTCAACTTGGAAAAGCCAGTAGGGAATAAGCCCTGAAGGAATTCAAATGACTATCTTATTAGAGTCATCATTTCAAAAAATGATGCTTTTAGTCAGAATAGACTCTGGAAATCAAATTGTGTATTTTGCTCAACTAGGAAACACAATTTAAAGTTTATATTCTGGCTATTGGGAGGAAGGGAAGGTGAACAACATAGCTGGAAAGACCACATATAATTTTTACCCTCTACTAAAACTGTGTTGTGAAGATGAAAAGAAATAATAGGAAGTGCCCAGTGTGTCCTGCTTATTAAATGAGTTTATCCTAATTATTTTGCAGATGGAGCCTAGAGTATATACTTATTAAATGAGTTTATCCTAATTATTTTGCAGATGGTTTGATAGGACTTAATATTTCCCCCCAATTCAAATCAATGATGTTTTCAACTCCCGTACTAATCTGGACGCAAATCACATAGCCCAGTTGCCTCTCTGTTCAGACAAGAAGCCCAGAATCCCACATCTGTAGCCAGCCTCCTTCCAGAGACTGCACATTTCAGATCTCTGATTCTAGCCCCATTTTCCTTTGGCCATTGTTACTCATGACAAGAGTTGCTTAGAAGTACTTGGTATTTTTTTTGTCTATCACAACACACTGAACATTCAAGTCAAGTTGCTGGGTTTGTATGGGCTTATACCTCCCAGCATTTTAGTCCACATGCCTCCGTTACTCTTGTGTGCCAGCTGTACCAGCCCTTTCTGGATCATTTTATTAAAATGACGTTGTAATAACAAAACTATCGGCGGAATAGGATTATTGCGAAGCTGCAGCGCATTTCTCCTCCGCAGACACGCGTTTCAACAGGAGAACCCCAGCCCGGGCCGGCGGAGCCTGTCCGGCTCCGGGCGCGCGCAGCAGCAG